CACCTCTCTAATCCAAGCTGTAATGCCAGGACAGTTCTTCATTGGAGCAACAGCTCTATTATCTACAAGCTCAGGGAAACTGAGGCATGAATAACCCAAGCACAAAATGAAGTAGAATAATACAGTCTGGGTTTTGTCTTACAGCATCCTTTGGGAGAAATGGCCTTTGGGAAAGAGAAGAGAGAGTAAGGAGGGAAGTTACACAGACCCTAAGTAGTTAACAGCATATCACCCCTCCCCCAACCAGCTCACATTCCATCAAAACTACGTGGCAGACTTTATTTGTTAATAATATTTAACTTTCTTTGGCGCCTTCTCGTACTTAAGCCTCTTTTTTTCAGGTTAGTTGTAGACAAGCCATGAATTTGTAAAAGTGCACTTGATGACACATTAATAGGACAATCTGTCATATTGCAGCTAAACAGCTTGACAGATCCACACACCATGGCAAGAAATGACATTCAAGGCTGGAATGGGGCAATCGCTCTCTTGGGCTGCTGGTCTGCAACATCTCCTCTCCCGTTCCAAGAGCCAAATCCCAAGACTTAGATCCTCACACTTGAGGGAAATGAATCCAAACTACGTTTCAAAGCACAAGGCAAAGTTACTTGTTGGCCCAGCAGGGTAAAGTGACTGTGTCTGACTCCCAGCTGCCTAGATTGCTCTCTGTTGGGCTGAAACAAGAGCCAGCACAGTTGTTACCTCTCCTCCAAGCTTCAGTTCAGCATTTGTACTATCTGTAGATAACTCCACACTTTGCTGCTGCTGTTCTCACATCCAAGTTGCAGCAGTTCCAAAGCACCCGATTCTTGCTAATCCAGGAATAACATTCCACCCATCCACTCCAGTTTACAACTAGAAACAGGAATGGGCCAACGTTGTACTTCCCAGCACAGCAAACCAAGATCTCAAGTGACTGAAAACACACACAGTTTCTTCTCCGAGCTCAGCACCATCGCAGCAATAATGGGAATAGTTAAGACTGTAACAATATCAGTTCTGCATAAGGAAAGATTTGACATAGGGAAGGTATTATAAAAAGCCACATTTATGTTTCAAAACTGGACCCAAGAAGCCAACTACAGTGTTTGCAAACACTCCAAGTTTAATAGTCAGGCAACAAACTTGTGACTTGATCTGCCAATCTCTACTTACGCAATTCCCCTTTTACTCAAGATAAACCTTACCTAAGCTAAGGATAATATCCAAAGGGGAAAAGGTCAAAAGCTAGGATTTTCCCAGAGTTGCCCATTAGTAGATATATTGAACAACTCCTAAGCCTTGGTACATACAGTGATTTTTAAGCCAATACAGTAGAAAGCACATTATCATTCACTGACACACACACTCCCACTTATGGCAAATAAAGGTTTAGAGCATTCCCATGATAAATCCCTTTGGGTTTGGTGTGAAGTCTCCCAGCCCAAACTCAAGCTGTTCATCAGGTTAATACACACACAAGCTGTTAGAACAGACCTAACCACTCCAGCAGACATAAGAGCAGCTTTGGGAAGCCAGAACAAGAGCTTAGGGCCACTCCAGCTGCCTTCTGCACCCCACGGCCCGGTTCCCCCCATTCCCCACCCGTCCCAGCCACCAGCGCCCGCGGGACCGCTCCGCCACCTGGTGGCAAATCGATGGAATCACCCAGATGTTTGGAAACGTTATGGGGGAACATCGTCAGGTTTCTCTTGCAACAGGCTCTTTGGACTAACAAGGGGTGAAACAACGTTGTTGGGGGCACAGACAATAACAGGTTCCTGGTAAATCCCAGCCAAACATCCTCAGTTGTCGCCCAGAAAAGCCTTTTCAATAAGACGTGAATGATTTAAGGTTGTTTTCAATAGCTTCCCTTTTGTTTGTGCACGGGGGTAGGTTATTTTTCCACTGAAAATATGGTATTTCTGCCTTGAAAAGTAAGACCTGACCTTTGCCAGGCAGCAAAAGCATCATCATGTGCATTATTAGTCCTCCTGTTGCAGTTCTGCCATAGCTTTTGTTTTCTAGTCCATATATACATATCCCCTTGATTTCTTCCCAATGATTCCTTTCCCAAAAACAGTCTCACAGAAAGTACAAATTTGATCATGAATGTTTATTATGAACAAACAGCTTTACAATGCAGTCATTTCTACTCCTCAGTACATGCTTGAAGGAAGGGAACTCCCGTGACCTTGAAACTTTAGGGGGGTGAAAAGATCTGACTACACATAAATCCAGGTTTTTAAAGGTGACCATTGAAATGCTTCTGATTCAAGCTGCAAAACCTCCCCCCCACCCCTGTGTAACAAGCTTACAGAAATTGCAGCACAAAAATAAAGGGCCAGACATTTGTTCAATATCATATATTGAGGGACAGCTTTTAGTTGTACCACATTAAGTAATGCACTGCTTCAGGGCATGGTGATAGTTTTTGCATGGCAAAGAATGGTTTCCTCCACCTAATGACTTTGGTAACAACAAGATCAGATACTGCATACTATTACGAACGTAAAAAACAAACCAACCAGTAAAACTTACACAGAAGGGAATAAATCTTCTGTTACCAAAGGCAAGGAGCAAGCAGATGTATGAGGAAGGGTTCACTCAGCTACTCCTCCTAGCTTTCAAGAAATGGCACCTGAAGTGATTGTCAAGTCTTGGTCTGAACCCAGGGTACTGAAGAGAAACTGCAACTGGAAGTTCTGGGGTTTAAATACAACCAATCCTCAAAACAAATGCAGCATGTTCAGGGTTTAAATGAAGCTTTTTTGTTTCCAGTGGTGGCACTTGCTAAAAGCAGGAGACCCACCTTCAAATGCTTGGCTGCGGCTTAAGGCCAACTTCTTGCCACATACTAAAATGCCTTTTATTTAACACCTCCAGGCTTTGCTAGTTCTTCTACCTTGGTTAGGCAAATGCAAACTATCAGAAGATGCAAACACACCATGGCCAAGGTCTCCTTGCCTTTGTCTTCATGTATGTGGACAAAAGACCTTCCATAAGGTAAGAAGATAAACGTAGATAACCAATTCTAAGCTTCTGCCTGTAGGCAATGTCCATGGGTAATAAAAGGCATTGCAAGAACACAAACATGTTTGAATGACACTACAACCTATGAGGCTCAACAGCCCCAGCTACAGGTCCATGTGCTTTGAAAGAGGAGATCTACCAGCCTGACAAGCCATCCCAAAAATCCTCTCACTGCAGGAGAGACAGGACACCCCCAGACTGACAGAACACAATTGTTTCTAGATAGATCCAACTGGTGCTTCTCTTTCCACAAGAGCTGATGAAGCACGTAGAAGAGGTAAATTAAAAAATAGTTATAAATAAGATCTGGTAAAACAACAAAATTAAAAAAAAAAAAGAATCATCAAAGATTTATAAACACATTTTAACATCCAGCCTTTTCCACATCCCTTCCCCACCTCCTTCCCTTCCTTACCTCAACAGGAACTGCTTTAAGATTTCTTTAGTACAGAGCTGTTCTGCTAGTCCTGATCATTCCTACCTAATGCAGAGAATTGGTCACATTTATTGATGCTCTAAGCTGCATGGCTCATGGGTTAACAAGACAGTTTTGCTTACAATTCAAGATACCAGGAAGCAGAGAGAGAACAAATCTGAAAGGGAAAATAAAAGAGTTTTGAAAACATTCTTAGATAGATGAGGTAATATTTATTTGGGCTCTTCAGAATAGATAAGACTAGCCAGTGAGATGCAGAGCTTCTTGCCCTGCCATCACCTTTGACAGGTTGTTGTCCCATTGACAGTGTTCTCCCCCAGATGATGAGGCATCACTGTCAATTATGAAAGGCACAGTACGTTTGCCTCTGATTAAACAAAATATTTGGATAAAATTAAGGAGGGTGGGGGGAAACCAAGCAAAATGAGCTTAAAAAGTAGCTTCAGGCAGACTTTTGAACTACTGTAGGAGCTTTAGTGTTTATCCACGAATAATCCCATGAACAAACATCAGAATTTCAGTCATCTAAAGGGGAAGAGTAAAGAACTCACACCTAAAAGCAGAATCTCAGATGAATTAGAAAGGTTTGGGCTTTTGGTGGTGGGGTTAAGAGTTTATGCAAGTCTTCAAGTAAGCAAGTGGAACTAACTTTAAGGGTTTACTTCAGCTAGTGACACTTCAGATTAATTCAGCTGACTCTGAAGAAGCTGGTTTGTTATTCACTCATTTGTCTTTCAATCTTCACAAGGGCTTGGGTTACTCCATTCACCAGAGCCCAAGAAATGCAGAGAAGTTGTGCTGAATACACCATCAACTCTCCAGGGGTGTGTGCAGTTTTATTATTCTTTTCACCAGTGGCACCTTGTGATCAAACTTAAGTATTACAGCTTCAAATGTAACATCTCCCAGATGGAAATCTGTCAGTGAACAAATCCCAGAACAACACTGCATATGGGTATCCCCATTAAAGACCAATTCAAACGCCTGAAGGCCAACAACTGCACTTCTTGTAGCCCAAATAAAACCTTCAGTGACACTGTGACAATTTAGACAACACATTTAACACCCACGGTGTTACTGTCCCACTCATCTGATCACTACTGACTAGGTACAAAATGATGGTCATTCTATTTTAGAAAACAAACCAGCAATCTTCTGTAGCATCGATGTTCACATGAACCCAACCCTTACCAAGTCCACATGGAATCTCTACTCGGATCATGTCAAGCCCTGTACACTCTCCCCTAAGGAAAATAAAAGACGATATGCTTAAGTTGTGACATCTTAAAAACTGCTCCATGAAGTAAAAAGCTTCATTTGCTTCAGATTTTCAAATTTCAAAGAACAGATGGAGAACTGCTATAAAAATCAAAGCACTAGAAATGGTCGTGTCTCATCAATAATGCTTTGACTTGTTTGCGAGCCACTACTAGACAGTAGCGAGGACAAGAGGAACTGTGAGCAGAACTTCTTTTAGTTTTCTGACTAATCAAAGCTACTCCATTTCCCAAACATAACCCATGAGCCAACCAATGTTTTACCTGCAATGTGGTAAAACAAGTATTTCCCCCAGTGTCAGAGTCAGATGCCCAAAGAGTCCCACTCATTCTGCAACTACCACTAATTTGGTCTTGGATTTCTTTTATTATCCTCATTCTTGGGCTATGCTTCTCAGTACATACTTGACTGTGTAGGCAAAGGCTGCAAAACCAACTATAACAAACAAGTTCGCCAAAGCTCCACCTAAAAGTCCATGGTTACGATTGGCCTGTTGGAGACCTGGATGATTGGCAGGTGCCAATGGTACATGCCCATTCAGAAGGGGTATTCCATTCTGCCCGTAGTGTGCTTCCCCATCAGGGACAACATCTGGTAAAGGGAGGGAGGGAGGTCTGTTACTGAGCTCTTCTTGTGCTTTCTGTTTTTGTTTGATCTCCTGGAGAAAGAAGAAAGAGACCTTGAATAGCTGGAAGTGAAAGTGGTGAAGCTATTGGGTGCTTTAAGAAGATTTCAGAGCCCAAGTTCTCACTTAAATCTAGGAAAAGGCTATGGTACATTTCACACTGTAGGTCTTTTAAACAAAATCGACTGCATTACATACATCTGGACCGTCTCTCCAACTTCCTCCAGAGTTACCTACTTAGTGACACTAAAAATCACTTGGCCAGTACTCCTACAGTGTTAGTGCTGTGCAGGGAAGTTATATACCCTAAAAAGATATCCCCCATTCTCAGAAGTTAAGCAGGAAGAACTACAGGAAACCAAATTATTGCATGGATGAACTCCCTTACCTCCACCACTTCAGGGAAGAGCTCACAGAAGACTTTATCTTTTAAATTAAATGCTAAGCTCTGTGCAGCAAGCTGTCTTTTCTGTGGAGGAAACAAAAATCATCAGCACTTGCATGTAAACAAAGTTAATATACTGTTATCCACTACAACAGACATTTATACAAGTTATGTTCTCATCTCTTCATCTTACAGGGTTAGTGTTCTGTACTAGTCCGCAGCAGGCAACACATTCATTTCTGGATACCAAAATGCCAGCTGCTGCTGGAGTTTTAACTTTGTCCTAAGCTGACAAAAGGCACATCACAGGTCCTGGAGCTTACCGTGAACTCTGACGTCTCTATGCTGCCCAGTGTGGGGCCCTTTTCCACCATAAAACTAAGAAGGCCCGTCAAGATTGTTGAGACTGACCAAGCTGGATTCCATGTATCCGGGTGGAAATCAGTGATTGAAAGACACAACCTTCAAAAGGATGAGACAGGCAGTGTGGTTTATTTTTTGCCATTAAAATTATTACACGTTATACATATTGCTAAGGTGGTGTTAATTGCTTAAGTGTTAGAAGAAAATCCTTACCTTGTGTTACACTTAAACCTTCCATTAGGTGTAATCATATAAATACTAGGAGGTTTAAAAGGAAATTCTCTGGGGAATATTAGTTTCCCATGATAATAGCCACCTGCATTACATAGAGAGATGAATTACTTATTTTGCATGAAGATGAAGTCCTAAGCTGCTACTCAAAATGGGCCAAATAAAACCCTTTGTCTCCTTTCCCCCACACACACACTACAGAGATCAATGTCATCATCTTGTGCCTCTCAAACACAGGAGTAACAATAATCCACATCTGCAGAAGATTTACTTTGGAGCAATCCTCTCACATGCATATTACAAACTACTTTCTGTTGTCAAGTCTGTAACACATTGAAGGAAAAGCAGCCAAAGTGTATTCAACACAATACAAATGGGTTCATTTCCCGGAAACACAGCTAACTGCAAATAACAATCCTATGAGGAATCTGATTTCAAAAAGCATTTTGTGAGAGGCTCCAGAGGACATTGTGAAATATGCGACTACAACAAATTAAGAAGGTTTTTACATTCCTCACTTTCTCCAGAGAAATTCATAAAGAGAATGTGTCTTAGTTCACTGAGAACATTTATGCAGAAACAAAATGGAACTCTTTTAAACTATCTTTTGACTGTCACATAGTATCTAAAGTGAGTTATCTGCTCCAAGACCTTTAGCAATTACTTAATAGGAAGTTATCTGTCCTCAGCTTAACTTAAACGTGGTTTTGTTAGAACCTTTGGTAACAGATACCCCACTAATAGACAGCAGCACCACTACCTCTTTTCCACAGCTTTGAAACTGCACTAATAGTTTTTAGAGCTCTTTACAGCAGTTATGTTTTGCCATGGGATTACTCAGGCATGCCAATCACAACCAAACACATACACACTTCTGCTACATGCAAACTTTTACCTTCATAGGGAGTCATCTCAGGTCCTCGTACAACATAGTGCCTAAGACAAAGACAACATTTAAGCAGCATTGAAACCATCACACAACCAGCCAATTTCTCTCTTAAAATCAAGTTCAATATCACTTCCAGTTTCATACTCCAGCTCCCAAACCCCAGATTCCCATTCAATCTGCAGGAGCGAGGGAGCCAGACTTGATGACCTGGAAAATCTTGTTCTCTCCACAATAGAGAACATTTTAATTCTTACCATTCAAGGATATTAGAAGGGAGGGGCTCTGCACAGATGTAAGGCACTGGATCCTTCTTAATTCGAAGGTAGTCTTGTTTAAGTCTCTGTGTTGCTGTTGTTGGTGCTCTCTTATTACTGTTGTTGCTCATCTAGTTGTTAAGAAATATATATAAAGACAACCTCAATACAGTCTTAATAGATACAGGGCTATTATGCCTCATTGAACACAGCTCCAGATACTTGCAAAAGCTGCTTTACAGAGTGTTGATTTTAATATAAGTTACCATAACTTCTGAGTGGCAAGAATCATGCAAAATCCTAACCAGGACACCAACCAACACGCTCCCAGGAGACTCTGGTGTGGCCAAAATGGGAGAATACTCCTTCCAGAACAGCACTGCTTAAATACCAGGAAATACGCTGCCCTATAGAACCCACTTGAACTCTTTAGTAAGCAGCCCTGTGTTTAGGCTGAACACACATCATTATGACAGTTTTAAAGTGCTTGGTCTTTCTGAGTAATTAATTTCCCTATTCCATGTTAATATCTACTATATACTTTTGCCCACGTTTCAAATTCGTTTGTTGTCTCTCCACATCCATTATTTGAAATAAATAACAAAGGAAAACCCACAATAACCTCATTCCTGCCTTGGAGGGGAAGGATTTTACATTAAACCTGCTGCCTGCTTAAGAGTCAGTTGAATTCACAGAAGGGAACTTCTGAGCCAGATTATTCTCTTCCAGAGAAACAAAGACCTCGTCCAAAACGAGACAAGTCCGTGTGAAGAAAGGAAATTCCATGCTGCTTACCAGACAAAGCAAGCATTAGCCTTTACAATGCACTTACAGAACACACACCAATTAGCAACTGCTGTTTAACTCACTTTCCCCCGAGAAACTTAGCAAATTACTATGGAAATTCAGGCACGAACAAAAAGGACATTTTACAAACAGCCTGCACAAAGGGATAAGTTACTGCTTACAATGAGAGCAGCACTGGACACAAGGAGTATGTTAAGTGACCGGGACGCTAGACAAGTAGTGTTTATTAAAGAAATAATAGTTAAATCATGAGTAACAGTTTTATGGGGTCAAATATTCACACCCTACTCAACATTAATGCGTTTAGTCTGGCTTTGGTCAGAATTACTGTAAATAATTGTATTCGTAGAATACACACAGTATTTTTTCTTAAATACACACGGTTTTAAGCCGTCTCTTGAAATCGCAAAATTAAGGATTTTTCTCTAACGAAGCGTGATTGACTTTTAAAACAGGTTCAATCACATAGCTTTAATTTAACACAATTATTTGCTCTTAACAGCGCCCTTCTCCAGGCACCGGAAAACAGAGCACTTTGTACAGTTCTTGGGATTTTAGCACCCTCAAAGCCGTATCTGAAAGACCATTCGTGTCTTAAAACACAGTCACCAAGCGGCAGCATTTGCAGAAGCCACGACCACACAGCCATTTCCCACCTCGACAGCCCAGTCCACCAGAAGCGAACAAGGAAGCACCTCGCCCGCCTTCAGGCCGCCAAGCACCGGGTGGATCACGGAGCCAACGCAAGGGCACCGACCCCCGAACGGGAGCC